CTGGCCAGTCAGCCTAGCTTAATTAGTGAGCTCCAGAGTCAGTGAGAGACTCTGTCTCAAAAAATAGGTGGAGAGCAATAAAGGAAGACACCTAACGTTGACTTCTGACCACATGTGTATACGCATACACACCACACACACGTGCCCACACCTGTGCATACACACAATAAACTTTTAAAAATAATCTTAAAAAAGAGACACCAGTGAGCTGCACCTCTCCTCACCTCCACTGTGAAGACACCATAAGAAGGTGACTATTCACAAGCGAGGAAGGCAGTCTTAACCAGAAATGGAATCAGCTGGCACCCTGAACTTCAAGACATATTGTTAAGTGAAAAAAAGCAAGTCAAAACACCATATACACAATATAACATTTATGTAAAACAAGAGTGCAATATAAGCCTCTCTCCCCCACATAAATTTCTCAGGGAAATATGTATAGAGAAAGTTTTGGAAAAAACTATGGGGAAGTTATAGTGATAGTGATGTAGAAAAATTTCCTATGTCATTTATAAGAAGTGTAAAATAAAAATAAAGTTTGACAGAAACAATCATGAACAGTGATAATGATGTAGGCACATTAATATGAAGTGTAGAGTCAAAATAAAGACAGATAGAAACTCCAGGAAAAACAAAAGGCAGTAAGGAAGGACAAATCCTAATTATTTCCTCTTGTCCAACAAACAATATTTACACAGTCACCAGCAATAGCTAACAAAAAAAAGTAAAAAACTCAACTGTTAAAGTAGGCAGTTCAGTGCCAGTTCATACCTGTAATTCCAGCACTCAAGAAGTTGAGGCTGGAGGACTACAGTGTGAGACCCTATCTCAAAAAAAAAAAAAAAAAATCATAAACAGGAAAAAGAGGATATATATAGATGACAGATAATCACATGAAAAGATTGTCAGTCTTAATGTCCACTAGAGAAATACAAATTAAAACCATCATGAGGGCTGGAACAATGCCATCTACCAACAAGCTTGATGACCTGAGGTCAATCCCCGGGACCCACATGGTGGGAGTAAGAAACAACTCCTACAAGTTGTCTTCTGATCTCCAGTCACATACTATGACACATGCTTACTCACACTCACACAGAGTAAATGAGTACATAAAATGTGAAAAAAACCACTCCTCAATGAGATGGCAGCTATAATAAGAGCAGCTATAATAAACAACAGTGACAATATCAAATGTTACCAAGATTTTGCAAAACCTGGAATTTTCATACACTGTTGAATGGAAGAAAAATGGTACAGCCTCTCTGGAAAACAGTATGGCATTTTCTAATAGAACTAAACATATGCTTACCATACAACTTACCCACTGCCTTCCTGAACATCTTACAGAAATGAAGATTAATGTCCACTCAAAAAGCTATACCCAAATGCTAGTCTCTTTCTTTCTAAGAGTCCCAAATTGAAAGCAACAAAAATGTTGTATACCAGCTGGATAAAGGAGTAAGCAAACTGCAGCATACCCATTCTATAGAATACTAGGCAGCAGGAAGAAGGACCTGCATGCAGGACCTCAGAGGTGTCTCAAGGAATTATTCTGAGCACAAAAAAAAAAAAAAAAAAAAAAAAAAAAAAAAAAAAAATTCTGAAGAGGCCACATATTGGATGGTTCTATTGATGCAACTTCTTAAAGCGACAGAATTACAGAAATGGAGATCATATTTGTAGTTGTCTTGGGTTAGGGCAATGAGAGAGGGAAATGGGTTTGATTAGGAAGGGTACCATGAGGGACATACTACGGTGATGGAGTGCCTTACCTTGATTGCAGATCTATGTATGTAAACCTTGATTATATTAAACCTATGCATGTGATTAAAAATGGCCTAGAACTATGCACAAATTACACAAACTTTAATTTTCTAGCTCTGATAGTGTACCATACTTGTGCAGAATGTAATCACTGAGGAAAATTAAGTGAAAAGTACACATGACTGATTCATATTTTGTACCTTTCTGTAAGTCTAAATTTGTTTCAAAATAAAGTTTTTAAAAATTGTTTTTACTTTATGTGTATGAGTGCATTGCCTGATGTATGTAAATGGACCCATGCTGTGCAGTGCCCACAGAGGTCAGAAGAGGGTGTCAGAGCCCCTGGAACTGGAGTTACAGATGGTTGTTAGTCACCATGTGGGTGCTGGGAATTCAACCCAGGTCCCCTGCAAGAGAAGCCAGTGCTCACTGAACCATCTCTCCAGCCCCCTCAAAGTAAAAGGACACCAGAATAAAAAACAGAGCTCTTAAAAATTAAAATGATGGGAGCTTGGTTGATAGCTGGGTTAATAAAATGGTGGCTGGGTAAGCATGAGGACCTGAGTTCAATTCCCAGAACCCATGTAAAAGGTGACAGGTACGTCTATAATCTCATTGCTAAGGTGGCAAGACAGGTGGGTCCCTGGGATGTACAGACCAGACAGCCTAGCCCAACCAGGGAGTCCCAGGCCACTTAGAGACCCTATCTCAAGAAAACAAGGTGGACAGCATCTGGGGAAGGACACCTAAGGTTGTTGACAGGTACACACATGCATGTGCACCTGTACACACACACACACACACACACACACACACACACACA